GACCGGCCCTTGGGATTCTACATTTTTAACAAGTTCTCAGGTGATGCTGATGCCACCTGGTCCTCAGACCATGCTCTGAGTAGCAAGGATGTAGACTTTCCTTTAGAGAAATCTGGAAGAAGAGCCATTGGATAATAGTTCCAGACATAACAGGATCAAGGGAAAGTATTATTTTACTTTTATTTTTTTTTATTTTATAGCCAGAGAGGAATGAACGTAGAGATGAAGAGAGAGAAATTATAGATGTAAGATAGTATTGCTAAATAAAGAGGAAAGAAGTGGTGGGAAAAACTCACAAAACGAATGTAAAGGGGAAGAATCAAGACCATGCATCTAGAGATTACTCTTGAAGAGTAAGAGGGATTATGTAAAGGGAGGAAGGGAGGAGAGAGAGAAGGTAGCTAGGTAATTTTGGAGGTAATGATGAAGGAACTTGGAAGGACTCATGTCAGATGACTTCATTATATTCTCACTGAAACAGCAGATTACAACATTGCTGTTCCAGAGGTTACTGGAAGCAGGAGGGAGCGCTGGAATTGGCATTAAACCAGAGCCACTCACTTCTCTTTTCTATAACTATCAGGCATCAAAGATCTATGTTGCAGTGATAATAGTTATGTGAATGAGATTAATTTCAATCCAGAAGCATTGGCTGTTTTTTTAAAGATAGCTTATTTTTTGATAAGATAGCCGTTTCATAAAAATCCTTTGAACACTATCATGATATACCAAACCAATTTTGGAAACAAAAGAAACTATAGAGTTTATTCCTTGAATACCAAAACTGTTATCTTCAGTAAATATTGAACTGATTTTGAAATATAAAATGGTTTTAGTATCTAATAATTTTGTGGCAATTCATTTTTTCCTTTTCAATAACTGTATTTAAATATTGAAAGCTTATTATACATTATTTCTTAGATGTGTTTTATATACCTTCTTGCATGAGTGGATCAAGAAACTTAAAGATGGCTAAACTAGAGGATAGAAGATATGTAGGCATACCATTAGCCCACATGGGTATGGAAAAGAATGAATATTGTTATTAACTGTTATTCTACAAGTATATGAGTATATCTAAGCTGATCAATTTAGAACACTTCTCTGGTGAGAAATGAATCATACATTCAACTGCACTGCTACCACAACTGTGTACTTCCTAAATTACAGGGAAAAATTGAAGAACATGATAAATACTTGTAGTATAATGGTATAAATGATTCCGATGTGTTGCTTAAAGATATGCTGTTGCATTTTACTATCAGCTTTGACATTTATCCTATCAGGCTCATGATTTGCTTCTCTCATTAAAGATCACTTTTTCTTCCCATCAATCACCATGTTCATATTGGTATATGTGCACTTTTCTTTGTTATAGTCATTTGAAACATAATCTCGCTTTTGAAATCTTAACTGCATGTTTTATTAAACCCATATTCCTTTTTTTCTTCAGTATATTTCTGTCAGGTTGCCGTCCTAACCACAGAAAACCCAAATCTGAAAGTAATCATTTTTGAAGCCAAGCATGAGGATTC